TCAACGCGGGCAACGCGTGGCAGCAGCAGCAGCAGCACACACATCATTGCCCCGCCCCCAAGGGCACAGCTCGGCGTGGCGAGCGTCGCGGGAGGGAGTCCGTCTCGGGAGACGAGGGGCCGAAACCAGGAGACACCGGCGGTGGGGCCGCGACGCAGAAGGAGCGGGAGACACACGGCGGGGCCAGTGGTAGCGGCACTGGTGGCAGCCACACGAAGGAGGCGGACGGGCAGCGCATCGCGCTCCTGGAGACCGAGCTTGCGGTCATGGAGGACGAGTTTGCGCGCGAGCTGGACAGGCTGAGCCGCAAGGAGAGCGAGACGGCAACGTTCTGGCAGGGCCGCGTGGCGCGAGCGGAGGACAGGGCGAGGGCCGCGTGCGGCGAGATGGAGGCGCTGGAGGCGGAGTGCGTCGAGCTGCGGGCCCAGGTCCGAGGGTTGAAGGAGTTCGTGAGCACGAGTACGAGGACGGATGGGCAAAGCGCCACGTCTGATGAGGTTTTTGGGGAAGGGGCCGCACGGCTGGGCAACGGACTGCAGAACTGGGTCATTGTGCATTTCCGCAGGGCCAAGATTGGTGAGTTCTTGCCCTGACCAGTCCTCCTTGGCTTGGGGTCGCGTGACTGCTTGACTGACTGGTTGGCGAAGATTTTGGCAAAGCGAGTGAAGTCGAATTGGAGGAGCTGGCAGCCTTAGTCCCGATGTATGAGGAGTTGGCGGCCGCGGCGAAGGTGCACCTACTCCAGTCGTTCGTGTCTCGCGTCCTGGTCGAGATGGTCTTCGGCGCGTACTTTGTTGGACTGTCCCCGGAGCAGGCTCGGCAGTTCCGCGACGTCGAGGAGACTCTGCGATCTTACAGCAAGTATCTTGACATCTTATAAGGGGTATGGCTGACTGTCTCCTCCCCCAGGTTCCGAAGAAGCCGTCAACCAGTGGCGCTCCACAACCCTGACCTTGCTGCGCCGCGAAGCCGGGGACAAGATGCACAGCGAGACGGACGCCGCTACGGAACGAGTCATTGAGCGCATCAACCGCGTCCTCGACGGCATCACCGACAACAAAACGACCGATGCACGAGATCAGGCCTTGAGGGCACTCATAGTCAGCGCCATTGACCTGGGCCGGCTGCTGGCCGTGCAGAAGGCAGTCTTTGGCGTCTTCATGCCGGAGATCGTGCCGCACCAGCAGACCAAGTTTGACCCTGCAACCATGGAGGACGTCGGCGGTGAAGATGAGGAGACGCTATCCGAGCGGGATATATGCTGCGTCACCTTTCCAGGCATTATGAAGAGGGGCGATGAGACCGGGCGGATGTTGGCATACCGCAACATCATTGCCAAAGCGACGGTGCTGTGCAGTCCTGAATGACCGGCGTCAAGGGATGGAAGCGGGCGTATGAGCATTTACAGCGGCATCATCATAACAAATCACGTATGAGCGAGTGACCACGATGATAGGTGGGCCAAGCGGAAATCCTGGCAAACGTGGTAAACTCATCAGATCGTGATATTGCTGGATATTTACGCCTTCGCCCCAACTTCCAGAGCCTTTGTCCTTCCCAATCCCTCCTTCCCGTAGTAGTCCATCGGATACACCCCCTTGCCCCAATCCTCCTTCACCTCCAAGGCGATCAACGCCTCGTACGGCGTCAGCAGGGGTCTCGGGAAGGCATAGCCCCAGTCGATGCTCAACCGTGGACACGCCACCTGCACCCAGCATTCAACGTCAGCCATCATGGCCAGCTTGCCGGGGAAGATCTCGCTCAGCAGCAAGTTGATCCACGGGATCCCTCGTTCCTTCAGCCTTGCCTCGATCAGCGCCATGGTGTGGGGGTTGCCCTGTCGTCCCAGCGAGCCCAGAATGAGACCCCAGCGCTTGGCGCGCTTGGCCGTTTTGATGGCGTCGCGTCTGAGTCCCTGCATCTCGTCGTGGCCGTACGTCTCACGCGTCAGCTTTCGCGAGTAGGGATCGTAGCGGTAAGCGGGGATGGAGGGGTTGTGAATCATGATGCTCTCGAGGTGGAAGCGGCCGTCGCCGAGATACAAGATCATGTCGACGGCGTCGTCGTCTTTGAGGCGGGGCGACGTACAGCCCAGGATCTCGCCCTTGCTCAGCGGCGCAATCTGGGGCACGAGCACGCGGAAGCCGGCCTTCTCAAGGGAGGACTTCACGCCGTGAATAGTGGCATTGAACTGAATGGTGCCCACGACGGCCATGGTCTTGCCCGAGGCAAAGTTGCGCTCCAGAGACGCGAGGAGGTGCTGGGTGTCGATGGAGATGTCGACAAAGACGTACAAGGTCTTGATCTTGGTGACATCAACAGGAATGAGGCAACTGTGGGCGTAGTGCACGAGAAGATCACAGCCCAAGGCGCGGGCCGTGTAGTCATCGATGCAGCATGCGCCGTAGGTAACATCACCCATGATGAGGGTCTCGATGCCAGGGCAGAACTCGGTAAGAATGTCGGAGATGGTGGTGGCGAAGAGTAGTAGGCCCTCAGGCATCTGTAGGGCAATCTTCTTGGCGCCCGACGTTCGAATACGATGCACAGTCTTGTGAATCTCGAAGCTGTAGTTAGAAGGGAGGAGAGCGATGGCGTCGTTGAGGGCGGCATCCTTGAGTATCTCGGGGGGGACCTGATTCAGTAGACGGGGCCCACGCCGGGGCTTGGCCACTTGTATTGACCCCGAGTCTTCGATTGAGGCTTCTGTCGATGGAGCATTCTTCGCTGCAGCCTCCGCGGCTGTCCTGCGACCGACGAACCGCTTCTTGGGTTGTTTGACCACAGGTGCCTCCTCTTCTGCTTGCTGCCGATGAGTTTCTTCAATGTCGGCGGCGATGCCAAGATCTGTCAACGCCCGGTCTTCTTCCATGTTGAGACAGAGACTCCAGTCCAGTTGCGATTAGATCTTGCCAATGAGGACAAAGCTTTCCGTACTATCCAGGACGGTGAACGGGTGTCGAAGATAAGGGAATGGCACTTATACTGCTGATGAGTCGAGTATGTAGAGATTTGTTGCCCCGCGGCAGTCCGGGCTTTCGTGTATGGCTTAGATGAAAATTTGGAGGGGCATATCAGGCCTCGATATCTGCACGGTCGAGGCATCTGGAATATCGTCATGATGCCATACGTACCCTTGTATCGAGTGGTCAAAAGATCCGATAAGGCAATGTGCGCCAAGACACGATCAGCTCAGCTCTTCACAGCTGCTCGAGCATAGGCCGCTCAAGCGCCAGCGCTCCCCAGGGATCCTCTCAGGCTGACAGGGCTGATCCTGCTGCCTCGTGCAAAGTGCCTTACGGCGACCTGTAGTGGGGACAGAGTGCTGAGCCTGAATGCCAGTGGTCAACCTTGGTGGGTGCAGCCTTCCCCCCCCCCCTCCCTCGTATGTGTCTCGGACGCTTCTTGGCTTGAAGCTCTTGAGGGGACGACGTCTGCCAGGAACCCGCCAGCCATCGCCAGGCAGCAGAATAAGAGGGTAGCAACAACTCGCGACGACCTACCCACCTCATTCGTCACCAGACGAGGCCTCCTTGGCCAATTCTTTGACCTGGGACACCTTCCCATCGTGTTCTACCTCATCCTCGTTGTTCCTGATCTCGTACCTCTTCTTCGTCCGCCCTGCGTCGTGCATCCTCGTACCTGCAATAACCCCGCGATTCGCACTACGGCAAACCCCGTCTGGCCTCATCTCTCATCTGGCCTCATCACGTCGGTCAAACCCAAATCGCAGCATTGACACCACCGACGCGACAAAACCTGGCCTTCAGATCTTCATCGCGCGACTACAATAACTCGACCGGTCAGACCTCCAGATTATGGTGTGGTCCAGGTAGTCGAATTCGAGCGTTCGGCCTCCGCCATCATGAGTCTCAATCTCCCCATTCGAACGAGCTCCAGCAGTCAGCGAAACCAGGCCAGCAGGAACTACTTTACGAACTATACACCCCCCTCTTCGACCGAGGCCATCAATGGGCCTGTGAGAGAGCCTGCGAGGGAGCTTCTTCCTCCTGCTGACCGTCTCATCGTTGGCGTGGACTTTGGCACCACTTTCTCAGGGTGAGTCTCGCTGTGGGTGCGCGCCCACCCGATCATCCTTCGACGGACATGCTTATGAAGCCGCGTGGCTGCGAGCCCTCGCTAACGTCCATCGCAGAGTCGCCGCGGTCTACACTGGTACCCCCGATGACATTGAGATCATCAAGACGTGGCCAGGAGGCAACGGCATCACCTCCGACAAGGTGCCCACCGAGATCGCCTACACCTTTCCTTCTACTCCAACTTCGCCTTCCGTGTCATCCTCGTCAACTCCCACGCCAGGATCAGGCCCGGGTCAGACGCCAGCATCTCACTCAGGCTCCGGCGGTGAGGGGAACCCGACAATCAAATGGGGTTTCCAATTCCGCCCCGAGGAGTCGCGCCTCCGCTGCATCAAGCTCTTCCTCGATCGGTCCCAGAAGCTTCCCTTCTACGTCTCCCCCCTCGACACGGCCGCCCAGCTGCGCAGCTATGACAAGACTGTCATCGACGCCGTGAGCGACTATCTCACACAGATCTACGCCCACACCATGGACACCCTGACGAGGCGCTATGGCGAGTCCTTCATGGCCTCGACCAAGGTCGACTGGGTGCTCACCTGTCCCGCTGTCTGGTCCGATGCGGCAAAGAACACGACGCTGCAGGCCGCTGAGCGGGCCGGTATGGGCGAGAAGTCCGAGATCCAGATGATCAGCGAGCCTGAAGCGGCTGCAGTCTACACGCTCAAGGCCATCCAGCCGAATCACCTGAATGTGAATGACAATTTTATTGTCTGCGATGCTGGTGGCGGAACCGTCGAGTAAGTCTCTTGCGATGCATGGAAGGTTCAAATCTAACCTGTTCGCAGTCTCATTGCCTACAAGATCATGTCGTTGAACCCGCTTCAGGTCGAGGAGTCGGCTGTCGGAACGGGTGGCCTATGCGGCAGCGCTTTTCTAAATTACAGATTCGAAGAACACGTTCGCAATCGCATTGGACATAGCCGTTTCGATGAGATGAAGGTCAAGAAGGGGAAAACTTGGCAGATGGGACTGCGCTACTTCGAAGAGTTTGTCAAGCGCAACTTCAACGAAGACGAGCACCATGAAGTCAATGTACCGTGAGTGGCGCCCCTCCGACAGAGCTGAGCACTCTCTGATGCATCGCAGCTTTCCCCGGTCTCCCCGACGACGAAGAAGCAGGCCTTGATTGCGGCTTCCTCGTCATGACGGCCGAACAGGTCAAGGACATCTTCGAGCCTGTTGTCAAGGAAGTGTGTGACCTCGTCCAGGGCCAGGTTCGCGATCTTCGCTCCAAGGGCGGTATCGTCTCCGGCATCATCCTTGTCGGCGGCTTTGGCCAGAGCGACTATCTCTACCGTCGTCTTAAGACGCATTTCGCGAGCGCCGCCCCGCCTCCCTATACCGAACGCCCGACACACGCCACGGCCACGGCCCTCACCGAGGCCGGCTCCATCGAGGTCATGCAGCCCGTCTACGCCTGGACAGCCGTTGTACGAGGCGCCGTCCTCCGTGGTCTCGAGGGCAGCATGGTCATATCGCGCAAGGCCCGCATGCACTACGGCACCTCGTATGCCACAGTCTATGACGATGAAAAGCACTCCGTCAGCGAGCGCTACTGGTCACCTTTGTGGGAACGCTGGATGGTCTCCGATCGTATGCAGTGGCACATTGCCAAGGGCGAGGCCATCTCGCCCGTGTCTCCTATTGCTTTTCACTACACGCGCAACTTCCGCCCTGGACAGAGCCTCGTTGTCACGGACGATCTCATCGCGTGCGAGGCTGATGAGCCGCCGGTCGCGTACGGGCGGGATCTCGTTAACGTGTGTACACTAACGACGGACCTCAACGCCGTGCCGCGAAGCTTATTCACGAGGCTGACAACGACGAGGGGTGTCGAGTTTGATAATCTCGATTTCACGCTAGAAATGATAGTCGACAGCGCAGGTCTCGGTTTCGAGCTCAAGGTCGATGGCGTCCGATATGGACGTGTAGAGGCAGATTTCCACTGAATGCAAGGATAGGGAGAGGCGAGGAAGGACCATGTATACGCTGTTGGAAGGAAGATCTGCTCCGAGACCATGATAGCGTCGTACGTAGGCATTTGATGGAGCTGCCCGGAGGCTTACTGCCTTACTATGATATCATGAATGAGAATATACTGCCTTTTACACTCACTTTAGGCTTCTCGACTGATATGCCGCTGAAAGTCGAATTTCTGCTGTCTCTATCTATCCTGCCTTGGGAAGTTGCTGCACCCTTTCCTCTCTCAGCCTCTTGCAAGGTAAATGGATTTTCGAGCCCTGCTTTGGACGAATGTCTGTGTTAGCAATTCACGGTGGTTTTCATGCACAATGACCTCCTGACAATAGCTCGTCAGTAAGTCGTTTAAAACCGAATCTCTCTTTACAGTGGACGTGGCTTCTCAGTACCTTCACCTTCTCAGATATAGTCCACATGATGGTTTGGTCGAGGCTCGCCCTGGTGACCCTCGTCCGGGTTATACATTTAGGCTTCGCTGACCATAAAATGAGGCTCGACTATGACCGTACAGCATGCACCCAGTCATGGACGACTCGGAACAGAACGGCTGAAAGTTAACATATTGTCGTCCGTTCAGGCCGACCACATGTGTGGAAGGCCCTTCAACACAAAATGACACTGTGGCCTGGGTCCCCGAGAGACAATGTATGGAGAGACTAGGTAATGTATGCACTCCAGATGGCACTGGAGGGAGGCCCACCCACTGCACGTTGGAATTAATGAATGAAGGGTACTGGCCAAGAAAGAGGTAAGTGGATAAACAAGAAATATCACAAAGTCAATTGGACCTAATGTTTGTGCCGGTACATTTTTCTACATTCGAGCTCCTTGTCCACTTCGGGAGAGGGTATGTAGCGACTAAATAAGCCAACAGAACTGGCTCGTAGCCAAGCCATCGTTCCAGAGCAAATCTAAGCCATGTTATACTGGCAACACGGAGAATAAAGCCTGACGTACAAGCCAGAGACTGAACAGCGGGGACGTACACATGCCTGGCCCCCGCGTGGCTGTCGCGGGGATGGTTCCAGTCTCGTGGGTTGGAGCTGGAATCTGTCAGAGACCTCTTCACGTGATGAGAAGACTGTATTTGCGGGAAAGACCCACAGGTGCAGAACCGGCATACGATCCGCCGCACGCATCCTAGTAGGCTCGCCACAATTGTCCTAACTTTATCATTGGCCATTTGCGAACGGACGTCGGCCCCACCGAAGCACTTGGCCCCCCACCTGCAGTCGTTCGTGGCCCAGCAACCCAAGCTCCCTCGCTACCTAGGTCGAGGCGGTCAGACTTTTCATCGCCATTCTGGAAGCGTCCATCAAGGAACGTAATAGACAACGGCACAACAGAATCTCACACACGAAAATACGCCTGGACGGTGAATGAAGAAGCATACACAGTTATGCAATGGGCAATCCGGGACATGGCCGTAGGGAAACAAGGGGAAGAAAAAAATCAACGATTCACTCACTGTAGAATGCACCAGAAGCACGTAGAGACAGCCAAATGATATCACCCAGTCTGAGATTTCAATGAGGGGCTGCTAAGGTTGGGCTGATGACGATGGCGGGGTTTGAACCAGTTCATGTCGAGGTACTTTGATTATGCGTGCAGGAAGGAGGAGATGGATGTACCAGCTGTATAACCCCGCCTGAGCCACCATGATGTCAAGGGAAGCTCGCACTGAGCTTCAGAATCGGTCCACAGGTGCTGGAAGTGTCCAGCATCACCGGGACAATGTCAGAGAATTCCAAAATATCGCCTCAATGTGCTCCGTAGTCTCCGCAATATGACACAAATCCCTGTGACAGTTTTCTGGGCCTAAAATCGGGCAGAAAGAGGGCAGTTTCCTGAAGCTGCTCGAATGCGCATTGGTGGGGCAACCTTGGAAGTAGAAAGAACGCTGTGGAAGGTTGGGCGCTGCACCCGAAACTTTTAAATCCTCGACGCTGCCAACCGCTACACGTACCTTCACCACTTTTCATCAACAACACGAGCAACCACTCAACCAACTTCCTCTTTCCTCCATCCTACCTTCCGATTCAGCCTTTTTCTTGTTCCTTGATACCCAACCCTTTCTCTCTACATCCCGCACATTTCACAACCGCAGCCATGGCGACTCCTGGCAAGGCCGTCGGTATCGATCTTGGGTAAGCTTTCTCACGCAGGTTCCTGCTGGCGTATGAGTCCCTGACGTTTAACTCTCAACCACAGTACCACGTTTTCGTGTGTTGCCGTCTACTCTAACGACAAGTGCGATATTATTGCCAACGACCAGGGTAACCGCACCACTCCCTCCATTGTCGCTTTCAACGACACCGAGCGTCTCATCGGAGATGCCGCCAAGAACCAGATGGCCATGAACCCCCACCACACCGTCTTCGACGCCAAGCGCCTGATTGGCCGCAAGTTCCAGGACTCTGAGGTCCAGGCCGATAGGAAGCACTTCTCCTTCAAGGTTGTCGAGAAGGCCACTAAGCCTGTCATCGAGGTTGAGTTCAAGGGCGAGACCAAGCAGTTCACTCCCGAGGAGATCTCTGCCATGGTTCTCGTCAAGATGCGTGAGACCGCCGAGGCTTACCTCGGTGGCGCCGTTACCAACGCTGGTATGTTAATCATAGCACACCACCCTCCATTTTCTCCAGCACAATACTAATATCATGCGCAGTCATCACTGTTCCTGCCTACTTCAACGACTCGCAGCGTCAGGCTACCAAGGACGCCGGTCTCATCGCCGGTCTCAACGTCCTCCGTATCATCAACGAGCCCACCGCCGCTGCCATCGCTTACGGTCTCGACAAGAAGGTCGAGGGAGAGCGCAATGTCCTCATCTTCGATCTCGGTGGTGGTACCTTCGATGTTTCTCTCCTGACCATTGAGGATGGTATCTTCGAGGTCAAGGTAAATAACTTCCCTGATTTTCTTCGCTCATGCACATTATGCTAACAAGTCACAGTCCACTGCCGGTGACACTCACCTGGGTGGTGAGGACTTCGACAACCGTCTCGTCAACCACTTCGTCAACGAGTTCAAGCGCAAGCACAAGAAGGACTTGTCCGCCAACGCTCGTGCTCTCCGCCGTCTCCGCACTGCTTGCGAGCGTGCCAAGCGTACCCTCTCTTCCTCCGCCCAGACCTCTATCGAGATTGACTCGCTGTACGAGGGTATCGACTTCTACACCTCCATCACTCGTGCCCGTTTCGAGGAGCTCTGCCAGGATCTCTTCCGCTCCACCATCCAGCCCGTCGACCGCGTCCTGTCCGATGCCAAGATCGACAAGTCTCAGGTCCATGAGATTGTCCTCGTTGGCGGTTCCACTCGTATCCCCCGTGTCCAGAAGCTCATCACCGATTACTTCAACGGAAAGGAGCCCAACAAGTCTATCAACCCCGATGAGGCTGTCGCCTACGGCGCTGCCGTCCAGGCCGCCATTCTCTCTGGTGACACTTCCTCCAAGTCCACTCAGGAGATCCTGCTTCTCGATGTCGCTCCCCTGTCCCTTGGCATTGAGACCGCTGGTGGCATGATGACCAAGCTTATTCCCCGCAACACTACCATTCCTACCAAGAAGTCCGAGGTTTTCTCCACCTTCTCCGACAACCAGCCCGGTGTGCTCATCCAGGTCTACGAGGGTGAGCGCCAGCGTACCAAGGATAACAACCTTCTCGGCAAGTTTGAGCTCACTGGTGTCCCTCCCGCGCCCCGCGGTGTCCCCCAGATTGAGGTTACCTTCGATGTCGATGCCAACGGTATCATCAACATCTCCGCCGTCGAGAAGGGTACTGGCAAGTCCAACAAGATTGTCATCACCAACGACAAGGGCCGCCTGTCCAAGGAGGAGATTGAGCGCATGCTTGCTGAGGCTGAGAAGTACAAGGAGGAGGACGAGGCTGAGGGCAACCGTGTCTCTGCCAAGAACGGTCTTGAGTCTTACGCCTACTCCCTGCGCAACACCCTTAGCGACCCCAAGGTCGAGGAGAAGCTCGACGAGTCTGACAAGACCACCCTCACCGCTGAGATTGACAAGTGCGTCGCTTGGCTCGACGAGAACCAGCAGGCCACCAAGGAGGAGTATGAGGACCGCCAGAAGGAGCTTGAGGGTGTTGCCAACCCCATCATGATGAAGTTCTACGGTGCCGGCGGTGCCCCCGGTGGCATGCCCGGCGGCATGCCCGGCGGTGCCCCTGGCGGCCCCGGCGGCCCTGGCGCCACCCACGACGACGGTCCTACCGTCGAGGAGGTCGACTAAATTGATACCCGAAGTACTTTCATTTCCTAGAGTGGTCACGCGACGGATCTCACGGCACGGACGAAGTTGGGGTTTCATGACTAGACATTGCTTTCTGCGTTTTCACGATTACGACCACGGAAAAAGCACGGTTCTCAGTTTGGTTGTACTTTAATGAATTTCGGTGTTGCCAAATGCAACCCAATACAAGCAGTTAAAACACATGGCTTTGTTTGTCCGCCGCGTGCATGCTGTGACGATGCAAATAGTGCCATTCTCCTTGTGCAATCCTAGCACTACTCCCAAGTTTCTACGCTTCCACGCGCCGTGGTTTGGACCATCGAAGAAGCAGAGAAGAGACATCCGTGTAGATCATTAAAAGTAGTAAACTTTGAACCAGGCTAATAATTCGCAGCCCTGTCTTGTCCGCTCTCCCAACTAGACCTTAGCACTCTCATCAATTCCCAGCTGCCGTCTAATCTTCCTTCGCCTGTCCATCTCCGCCTGTTGCCATTCTTCGTCACTTACCTTGGCATCTTCTAGTGTCGTAGAGAAAGCCGTCTCAGGCGCGAGTCTTGTCGGTCTCGCCCTCCACACATCCTCACTACTGGGCTTGCCGGGCGCCATATTTCTCGTGCTTCCTTCTTTCCGATAATGCTCTCGGGATCGCTTTCTTCCTTCAACTTGCCGGTGTACCCTTTGACACGCATGCAAACCAGAAGTCATCCCAGGCTCTCCGCTGCA